TTTATAGCAGCACTATCAACAATAGCCAAAGTATGGAAAGAGCGTTTATTTTCATTTAAATATAGGTGAATGCTTTATATTTTAATATCATTGAAATAGGTATAAGGCTAATTATATAAAGTTTCCACAATCTGGTATAATTTAGAAACCAGTTCCATATAAAACTAAGAACTTAGCCAGCACCATAACCATAGTGTGTGTGTGTGTGTGTGTGTGTGTGTGTGTGTGTGTGTGTGTGTGTGTGTATTTTACTGGATTATTTAATTTAAAATCATTTTAATAGTCCTGTTGAAGGAAAAAAATTCATCTCAATGGGCACCTGTTTGGAAGTCTTCATTGTTTAGTTTTTCATTATCCGTCTCCTGGAAACTGTTCTTAACACTCTTTCTTTTAGCTATTAAATGATGATGTTCTTAGAACTTATCACATGGCCTAAAGTATCAGCATTATCTTGTGCTCTGTACTATACTTTATTATTGAGAATGACTGTGCCATTTTTATAGTTAAGGAATGACAAGACAATAGCGATCTGAAATACTGAACAAGTCTTAGGTCAGGTAATGTCTTAGCCAGTTTTGAAGTAGTAAGTATTGAAAATAGTGGGGGTTTTTTTTTTTGAAACTAAGGTAATGAGGCTTTTATATTTAAAACTTCTATTTTATGAAATTTCCAAGTTTTGTTTCTGTGGCTCCTTTATAGTTTTTAATGCTGTAATAGTGTGTTTAAAAGAAAAAAGTCATCTGTTAGAAAAACTAAATAAAAATATAGGGTAACCTGTTAGTATATTAGGCCAAGTGTTGTTGCTATTTCACAACTGATAACCAAATTATGTGTCTTTCTTCTTTCACTAGCCATATTTTCCATAAGACATGTGTTGACCCTTGGCTGTTAGAACACAGAACTTGCCCCATGTGCAAATGTGACATACTCAAAGCTTTGGGAATTGAGGTAAATATTGCTGAACTATTTATTTAACTATTTAGGTGAAGGAACTTAAGTTATTTATGTACCTGGGCCTTCAGGAAAATAACATGCCTAATTTTTAGCTATGTAACATGCCAGACTTGTGATTTATACCAAAAATTGGACCTATTTACATCATATTGACAGTGAGGTGCCATTTTGGACCACCTCCATTTTTCTTCTTCTTCCCTCTTATTATTTGGTCAGAATTTTAAGTGATGGCTTGTGATACCTGTTGCATTTTTTTCTCTTATGATTGCACAGCCACCAAACTTGTAGTTAAATGAGCATCTATGTTTCTTGACTTTAGAAGATACATAGATGATACCGATTCTGAGTTCCCCTGGGGGACAGCATGAGATGTTGTTGTTGTTATTTATGAATAATTTTAGATTTACAGAAAAGTTGCAAAGACGATGCAGAGGGTTCCCAGATACCTCTCACCAGTTTTTACTATTGTTAACATTTTGCATTACTGTGGTACATATGTCAAAAGTGAGAAACTGACATTGAGTCATTACTATTAACTAAACATCAGACTTTGAGTTTTGCCAGCAAACTGCCTTTTGAAACTGCTGGAGGTGAACTTGACCCAGAGTAGTTTTCTGGGTTTTTTTGTTTGGAGTACCTACCTTGTACCAGCCATTATATTATGAAGTGTTGGGATCACCCAAATGAACATCAGATGTGAAGACAATCTGCCTATAACTTCTTTCACCCCATTTTGAACCCAGTTACTCCAACTGCTCTGGCTGGGGCCAGCAAGAGATTTTTGTGATCATCAAAAGGGATTATAGGCTTAAAAGGTTAAGAAGCATTGCTCTAATAAGTCACTTATGAAGAAACTTTGTAATGATATGTCAGGGAAAAGCATGTACTCTGAGCGTCTTTTAATTAGTTCAAATGCTTTCCAAAGGCGGATGTTGAAGATGGACCGGTGTCTTTACAAGTCCCTGTATCCAATGAAATATCAAATAGTGCCTCTCCTCATGAAGAGGATAATCGCAGTGAGACTGCATCGTCTGGATATGCTTCTGTTCAGGGAGCAGATGAGCCACCTTTGGAAGAACACGTGCAGTCAGCAAGTAAGCACCATGCTGAGGGGTAAGGAGGGCCCCACAAATGATCCATTGAGGATCATATTCCTGGCAGAGTGCTCCTGCTTTTTAGTGTTTGTTCCTTTCATTCATTAAATACATTCCAGGTTTTTTCTAGTAACAGTGATGCAGTACAGGACACACCCCTACTTTAACTCAATATGCACATATTCAAATGTCTCTGAAACAGATGAAATGCATCAGGATTATTCACAGAATAAAAATATTTTTTTATTGGATAGCTTCTCTCTGATGGATTTAAGTATTGGCTATTAACTTACAGAGGCTGATGAGAAACTTCAGACTTTAGAAGCCGTTGTTTATTGTGGAGCAATCAGAAACTAAGGTAGAGGGGTCCTGAAATGATAAAATAGAATTCAGTTTACAAAAGCTTGATTTCGTAGGAACCCATCTTTTGCACAGATTAGAAACTGTGTATAAGAATATGTGCTGCCACCTGTTGATTATTTACCATGAAATGAACAAACCATGGAAACTAAAATTGAATATATATTTTCAAAATTCATGTGAATCAATACTGTAACTTGGTAATGTCCGTCCAGTGGAGAAATTTTAGGGAATTTTGTTACTTTTTTCCCTTAGAAAGAAAAGACCCTCATACAAATTATTTTTTCTTTCTTTAACTGCTACCGTTTTCATCGTTTTTGTTGGTTTGATGGTTCTCAATCCTCATTTTGAAATAACCTAATCCTGGCATTAAAAGTAGAAGAAAACGAAATGTTAAGATGATTAATAAAAGTTTCAGCTTCCTATGACTTAAACCTTTATCCTCTGTAGGCTTATCAGTGCCATAGACATCATTCCTGAAGATGTCAAGAGCAGTGCCATCACGCAAAATGTGCACTTTGTATTTCTTGTAATCTAATCTTAAAACATTTCTTGGAGTACAGAGTAGTCATAAGAACCTTAATAGTGGATTATTCTACCTATAATAGAGAATCATTGTCTATTTGCCCCAGGTGATTTTTTGTTTCCATAACTGTGTGATAATAGAATTCAGTGATGATAAGGGAGAGTGTACAGGATAATTCAGTTTATATTTAGGCTTGTTAAAAAGGTCCAGTCAACTTCTCTGTGTGCTCTGTTCTTCTTGTGAGGCAAGGTGGTAAGCAGAACAGTTTTTGCAGAGAATTTGACGAGCAAATGAAATGATGATCAACATTCCTCCCCCTGTATTCTTTATCTGGATAAATGGTAGTAACACCCAATCAGGTGCCTCAAACCAGAAACTAGGGAGACCCTAGATCCTTCCCTCTCCTCTTTCTTATTGATTCAATATCCCTTTTCTGTAATCCATCTCCTAATTTCCAACCTTAATTCCACAGTCATAGTTTGAGCCACTGTTTTCTCTCTGCCCATTCCGTTCACTCTTCTTCCTCCCAAGAAATTGGGGAACCCAGTCTAACTCCTGGTCCTCCTTTAAAACTTACCCCCCTTTGAAAAGCCTCCTTTGGCTCACCTGTATGGCCCTACCGTCTGCTTTCACAGAATTTCTGGCATTGCATTTATTTTACTGAATTGTATTAAAACTTTTAAAACATTTGGATAGGGACAGTGTCTTATTAGTCACTGTCATATACCCAGCACCTAGAACAGCCTGGCACACAGTAGATACTCAAATGTTGAATGAATGACCAGATAGAATAGATTTAATTTTATCTATGATTATGTATTACTAGTGTGGGTATCTTGCCTATCAGCCACTGATTAATGTGGTGATAGTGGTTTAAATAACTTTGCAAACATATAGTTGATTAGTTCATGTCCATTTGTTCCATCGTGGCACTAAGTTCTATTAGAGCACTGGTTTTAAAACTAAAGTATGCATCAAGTCACCTGGAGGGCTTGTTAAAACAGATGGACCACCACCAGTTTCTGACTCAGTGGGTTTGGAATAGGGCCTGAGAATTTTTGTTTCTGGTGATACTGAGGCTGCTGGTCCAGGGACCACACTTTGAGAACCACTAAATAAAGCCCTAGTTCTTAACCCTAACTGCACATTAAAATCATTCAGAGGTCACCTGGATGGCTCAGTTGGTTGAGCGTCCTGTTCTTGACTATGGCTCAGGTCATGATCTCACAATCCGTGGGTTTGAGACCCGCGTCGGGCTCTGTACTATACAGACAGATTCTCTGGGAATCTCTTGGGATTCTCTCTCTCCCTTTCTCTCTGCCCTTCCCCCATGTTTGTGCACTGTTTCTCTCTCTCTCACTCTCTCTCTCTCTCTCTCTCTCTCTCTCTCTCTCTCAAAATAAATTAACTTAAATCAGTAGATTTTTTAAAAAACTCACTCAAACTTTTTTTTTTAATATATGAAATTTATTGTCAAATTGGTTTCCATACAACACCCAGTGCTCATCCAGAGAAACTTTAAATATCACTGATGTCTGGACATTACACCAGAATGGTTAAATCAGAATCCATGAAGGGTGGGGCCCAAGCACAGGTTTTGTTTTTCAATTTTTAATTTAAATTTTGGTACAGTTTCAGGCTAAGTGTTTCAGAAATAGTACAAATAATACCCATATACTCTTTGCCCAACTTCTCCAAATGTTAACACCTTCTATAACCATATATAATTATTAACACCAGAAAATTAACTGATAAAATGTTATTAACTAAATGACAGACCATACTCAAATTTCACCCATTGACCCACTAATGTCCTTTTTCTGTCTCAGGATCCCACATTGCATTTCCCCTTTAATCTTTTTCCCCCAGACTTATTGATATATATTTGACACATAACATTGTGTAAGTTTAAGGTACACAGCATGATTTGACACACCTGTATATTGCAAAACGATTACCACAGTAAGGTTGGTTAGCAAATCCACCTCACATAATTACAAATTTGTGTGTGTGTTTGGTGACAATATTTAAGATCTACTCTCTTAGCAACTTTTAGGTATATCCAATAATTCCACTACTGGGTATTTACCCAAAGAAAAACAAAAACAGTAATTCAAAAGATATGTGCACCCTTACATTTATTGCAGCATTATTTACAATAGCCAGGATATAGAAGCAACCTAAGTGTCCATTAATAGACAAATGGATAAGGAAGATATGGTATATATAATAAAATAGAATATTACACAGCTATAAAAAAGGATGAGATGATGCCATTTGTGACAAGGATGGACCAAAAGGATATTATGCTAAATGAAGTAAGTCAGACCAAGAAAGGCAAATACCATATTATTTCACTCATGTGGAATCTACAAAAACAAATGAATAAGCAAACAAAAAGCAGAATCAGACCTGTAAATACAGAAAACAGAGTGATGGTTGCCATAGGGAAGAAGCCAGGGGGATGGGCAAAATGGAGGAAAGAGAGTGTGAGATCCAGGCTTCCAGTTATGGAATGAATATGTCATGGGAATAAAGGACACAGTATAAGGACATAGTCAATGATGTTGTAATAACATTGTATGGTGACAGATGGTAGCTACACGTAAGGTTAAAATAGCATGATATATAAACTTTTAGAAGTATGTAATACAGTATTGCTAACTGTAGATATGATGCCATATATTAGATCTCCAGAACTTATTCATCTTATAGCTGAGCATTTGTGCCCTTTGGTCAACACTTCCCCATCTCCTCTGCTCCTAGCCCCTGGCAACCACCATTCTACTCTCTGTTTCTGAGTTTTTAAGACTCCACAGATAAATGACATTGTGCAGTATTTGTTTTTCTGTGTCTTACTTCATTTAGCATAAATGCCTTCAAGGTCCATCCTTCTTTCTCTTGGCTGAATAATATTCCTCTGTGTGTGTGTGTGTGTGTGTGTGTGTGTGTGTGTGTGTGTGTGTGTGTGTGTATCATATTTTCTTTATCCATTCATCTGTCAACTGATACTTAGGATATTTCCATATCTTGGTTATTTTGAATAATGCTGCAGTGAACATGGGGGTACAGATATCTCTTCAAGATTGTGATTTCATTTCCTTTGGATATATACCCCAAACTGGAATTGCTGGATCATATGGTACTTATACTTTTAATTTTTTGAGGAACCTCCATGCTGTTTTCATAGTGGCTGTGTCAGTTTACATTCCCACCAACAGTATACTGGGATCCCTTTCTCCACATCCTTACCAGCACTTATCTCTTATCTTTTTGATAGTAACTATTCTAACAAGTATGAGGTGATTAGTGTTTTTGATTTGCATTTCCCTGATGATTACTGATAATGATCATCTTTTCATGTACCTGTTGGCCATTTGTACATATTCTTTGAGAATAGATCTATTCAGGGGCTCCAGTGTGGCTCAGTTGGTTAAGCATTCAACTTTGGCTTATGTTATGATGTTATGGTTCATGAGATCGAGCCCCACATTGGGCTCTGTACTAACAGCACAGAGCCCACTTCAGGTCCTCTGTCCCTTCCTCGCTGGTGTTCTCTCTCTCTCTCTTTCTCAAATAAACCTTAAAAAAAAGAAAATATATTCAGTTTCTATTTTCAGTGCCTATTTTAATTGGATTATTTGGGGGTTGTTTGTTGCTACTTTGTATGAGTTTCTTATATATTTTAGATATTAATCCTTTATATGATATGCAAATATATGCAAATACATAAATACGATATTATATATCGTTTCCCATTCTGTAAGTTGCCTCTGCACTCTATTGTTTCTTTTGCTGTGCAGAAGCTTTTTATTTTGATGTAGTTCCCCTTGTTGATTTGTGCTTTGGTGTCCTATACAAAAAATCATTGCCAGGACCAGTGTCAAAGAGCTTTTCCCATATGTTTTCTTCTAGGGATTTTATGGTTTCAGATCTTATGTTTAAGTCCTTAACCCATTTAGAGTTCATTTTTGTGAGTGGTGTAAGATAGGAGTCCATTTTCATTCTACCATATGTGAATATCCAGTTTACCCAACACCACTTACTGGCTTTTCCCCATTGAGTGTTTTTGGCTCCCTTGTCAAATATTAGGTGACTACATGTGCATGGGTTTATTTCTGGGCCCTCAATTCTGTTCCATTGGTCTATGTGTCTGTTTTTATGCCAGTATACTATTTTGGTTACTATACCTTTGTAGTATAGTTTGAAATCAGGAAGTGTGATGCCTCCAACTTTGTTCTTCTTTCTCAGGATTGCTTTGGCTATCCAGGGTCTTTGCAGTTCCATATACATTTTAGGATTGTTATTTCTGTGAAAAATGCCATTGGAATTTCGATAGGAATTGCATTGAATTTATAGATGGATTTGGGGTATATGGACATTTTAACAATATTCTTCTAATTCATGAACCTAGGATATCTTTCCATTTGTTTGTATTTTCTTCAATACCTTTCATCAAAGTTTTCAGTACAGATTTTTTACCTCCTTGGTTAAACTTATTCCTAAGTATTTTATTGTTTTTGATGCTATTATAAATGGAATTGTTTTATTTCTCTTTCAAATATTTCATTGTTAGTGTATAGAAATGTGACTGGTTTTTGTATGTTGATTTTGTATCCTGCAGCTTTACTGAATTCATTCATTAGTTCTACTAATCTTTTGGTGGAGTCTTAATCATTTTCTCTATATAAGGTCATGTCATGTGGATATAATTTTACTTCTTCCTTTCTGATTTTGAGGCCCTTTCTTTTCTTGACTAATTGCTCTGGCTACAATTTCTAGTACTATGTTGAATAGAAGTGGTAGAAGTAGGTACCCTTGTCTTGTTTCTGATTTTAGAGAAAAAGGTTTTGTTTTTAGCTTTTCACTGTTGAGGATGTTAGGTGTGAGTTTGTCATAAATGGCCTTTATTATGTTTGGATATGTTCCTTTTCTACCCAATTTGTTGAGTGGTCCACATTGTGTTTAATGGTCGTATCTTCATCTCCAATCTGTGGTTGTTCCTTAGTCTCAGTTATATATGATGTTGACACTTTGAAAATTACTGGTCAGTTATTTTGTAGAATGTCTCTCACTTTGAACCTGTTATTTCCCAATGATTAAATTCATTGTTCACTGTCTGTTTCTGGCAAGAATACCAGAGAAATAATATTGTGCTCTTCTCTGCCTCATATAATGAGGCACATGATGTTCATATCTTATTACTGATGGTTTTTAATGTTGCTTACTTGGTTAAGATAGTGAGTGTCTGCCAAGCTTCTTTTAAAGTTACTATTTTTCCCTTTGTAATTATTATCTTACAGGGAGACACTTAGAGACTATGCAAATATTCTGTTTCTCATCATGCTTTTTACCCACTAATTTTAACAATTGATGCTTCTTCCTTGCAATAATTATTACTGAAATGTGTGCCAAATGGTAATTTTCTATTTCCATCCTTCTTTCTACATTAATTAAGCTTCTATTTTAAGGAACAGTTATCCTTTATCTATTTATTTATTCAATTATTCATTTATAATAGTATGGACTCATAGATATTTCTTTTATTCTGTAAAATTATTCTCATGAATTATTAATTGCTTAGATTCTCCTAGATTTGGTCATCGGGAACTCTCTCAAGGTGGCTCCTGTGTTCTTTCAACATGCCTCATTTTTTTTTTTTTTTTTTGAGCACTTCCTTACTTTTCTGGTACCACAGGATGTTCTAGGCCAGGGATTGGCAAACTTTTTCTGTAAAGAGTCAGATAGTAAATATTTTAGGCTTTGAAAGCCATGAGTCTCTGATGTATTTGGCACAGTGAGGAGGGGGGTGTTTGACTTACAACCTTTTAAGAATGTGAAAACCACTCTTAGCTATTGGTTTGACTTGCAGGCTATAGTTTGCTGATCCCTAAGCTACAAGGGGTTAATCTTGTGCTCTCCTTGCCCTCGCCCTAGAATGAGCCACTTTTTTGGGGGGGGGGGCTTTTTTGGAAAATAGTACTTCAGAACCAAGATCTGGGCACTAGGTATGCTCATTGCTATGGGGGTATCGTCTACATATCTATCTATCTGAAAAACAGTGAACTTAATACTGATACACCTGATTCTAGTCAAATACCACAGAGTTTATTCTAGCCTTCCCCTTTCCTTGTTTGTAACTCAACATTTCACTAACTAATGTAGTCCTTTTTATTTTTAGCCTTACAGGATATAGTCAAAATACTGCTTTCCAAAGTTACTTAGGTTAGTTTTTTTCTTCCCCACTCTTTTCAGGATGTTTATATATTTCCTCTTTATATAATTATGCTCATCTGTTACTGTTTGTACTCCATTTGAAGAACTCTCTCTACCTTCCTGTTTGTTTTAGGTCTATTTATGCATATGAAAAGGTATAGGTAATTTTTTTAAGCACCCAGGTGATTGAAATGTGAAGCCCGGTTTCAGGATGGAAAAGCAGAAGACAGAACTTTTGCTCTTAAGGAGGCTATTAATCTAGGTAGAAGTAAGCACACATGTGAATTTAAAAATAAAAGAGTAATTGTAAATCAATATAATAATGTCATATGTGCCTTATGTAAGACATAGCCTAAATCATGTAACTATTAAAGGAACCAGGGAATGAGTATAATAATCAGAGTATGATAGCATTAGACAAGAAAAGCTTCTTAGACGTGAGTGTTGAATTTTGTCCTAAAGAAGAGAGGGGTGAAATCATCCTAAAATTGTCATTTCTTTTTAAAGATGAAAATCTACAGCTGGTAAACCATGAGGCAAGTTCCGTGGCAGTGGATGTTGTTCCTCATGTTGACAACCCAACTTTTGAAGAAGATGAAACTCCTGATCAAGAGACTGCAGTTCGAGAAATTAAATCCTAAAATCTGTGTCAATAGAAAACTTGAAACTTTAGTAATAACAACAGAACTGCCAATCAGGGCTTAGTTTACTATTAATGAACTGGATAAACTTAATTAAATAAGAAAGATACTGAAAGTGCTGAGATGACAAATATTATGCTATAGTTAAATTACTTAAAATATTTAATCTATTAACTTTTTTCCACAAACTCATAATGTTTTTCATAGGCAAGTTTCCTCTCAATAGTGATAGCAACATTTTTAAACATTTAAAACTCTCTTCAAGTAGTCATGGTTTTCATTTACAACAATTTTGTTATAAAAACATGTTGCTTTTAAAATGTGGAGTAGCTGTGATCACTTTATTTTATGATAGTATCTTAATTAAAAATACTACTATTTTAGCTTGGGCTATATGTGTCAGGGTTTTTCTCCAGGTGCTTATATTGATCTGGAATTGTAATGTAAAAAGTAATGCAAACTTAGGCTAGTACCTCATGAAATGTCTTTTTAAGCTACATTAAGTTGATAGAACAAGATTAAAACAAAATATTCATTTTAACTATTTCTTGTTTTTAAAATTAAGCTAAATGTACTTCATTTGAGTGTGGAGCATAGTTTGTCAAAGAATATGGACTGGACTGGATTGATTGGTATATTAATGACACCAATTTGACACAAGTTTATAGACAAAAAGTTTCCTTATAAAAATGCTGTGTAACTATTTCTCAAAGTTATGGGATTTTCAAAAGCAGAGTATGTAAATTATCATACTATTTGAAAATGATAATGAGTAAGTCACACAAAAATTGGTAATTGATCCTTGTGTATGAATTAAGTCTGCAGAAATTAGTCTGCAGAAAATGTTTTCCAAGCAATGTTGACTTTGAAAATTTAGTTTACATTTTACCTAAATGGGCTAATTACATTAGGTAAACTAAAATTCTGTCCATATAGCTGTAAATTTTGTGAATGCATTTTCTTGGTGTTTGAAAAAGAATGGGCGGGGGGGGGGGGAGAACTCCAGGTGCCTTAATATAAAGTTTGAAGCTTTCATCCACCAAAGTAAAATAGAGCTATTTAAAAATGCACTTTATTTGTATTCTCTGTGGCTTATCTTGGTTTTAAAGTTGTGTTTCCAGTGAAAATTCCAGCAGAATTTAGGCAAAAGCAGAAAAGACATGTATTTTTGTTTGCTAAATGTAGAATGGACAAAACCATTGCATTCTTGTACACTTATTTGAAATTCTGTAAATATTCCCCGATTTGTATTGATTCTCTTTAAATATAAAATGTAAATAAAATATTCCAATAGAAGTTTGCATCTGCTGTTTAGTTCAGTTAGCCTATACTAACTTTTCATATATGCTTGGATTTGGGAGAGGAAAAAAAATGGTTGATGCAAATGGTCATTGATATATTTGATGAATAAAAACTCAAACTTTAGTATGATATTTATTTACATATTTCATTACAGAGAGGGGAATTGCTGACATTTTAATACAACTGAATAGCATGAATTATTATTTTTTAATTTTTTTAATGTTTATTATTGAGAGAGAAACAGAGTGTGAGTGGGGGAGGGGCAGAGAGCAAGGGAGACACACAATCTGAAGCAGGCTCCAGGCTCAGAGATGTCAGCACAGAGCCCAACACAGGGCTCAAACCCACAAACCATGAGATCATCACCTGAGCCAAAGTCGGACGCTCAACCGACTGAACCACTCAGGCACCTCCCTGAGTTATTTTTCAATGTCAGCAAGGTAAATAACGAGGTTGATCACTGATAATATAAGGTTAGAAAAACACCTTGATGCCAGTCCATCTTTATACTACCCAAGACATAAAACCACTTTATTAAAGTTTTCTTTTCCTTCAGCCTTTTCTTTGGCAGTATGGTTGTTGGGATGCTGTTAATGAGTTAACTCTTTTGTCAAACTTGTTAAGAATAAACAGATGTTTATTAATAAACAGGGACACCTCAGAGCCCTGATTATCAAACCAAGGCACACATGTCTTGGGTACACATATGTCTTATGTGGCAGTATGCCAGGTGTACATGTGTGTGATGCTCCATAATAAACAACCTCTTGATCTATATTCTTCTTGTTTTATGTGTGTGTGTGTGGGGGGGTTCTTTTTAGGGAAAATTTATAATTTTTAAAATTTTCATCTTGGGACGCCTGGGTGGCTCAGTTGGTTAAGCGTCCGACTTCAGCTCAGGTCTTGCTGTCTGTGGGTCTGGGCCCTGCTAGTTTTGCTGACAGCTCAGAGCCTGGAGCCTGCTTTGGATTCTGTATCTCCCTCTCTCTCTGCCCCTCCCCGACTCATCTGTCACTCTCTCAAAAATAAATAAACATTAAAATAAATAAAATTTTCATCTGTATTGAAGTATAATTAACACACCCAAAATTTGCCCATTATAAATGTATAGTTCCACAATGTTTAGCTAATGTACAGAGTTGTGCAACTGTTAACCACAATCCAGTTTTAGAACATTCCATCACCCCCAAAAAGTTCCCTCATACCCATTTGTAGTCAATTTCTGCTCCCATTCCCAGCCTCAGGCAGCCACTGATCTGCTTTCTATCTCTATAGATGTGCTTATTCTGGACATTTCATATAAATGGAACCATTCAATATGCGTGTGATCTTTTGTGACTGGCTTCTTCTACTTAGTATAATATTTTCCAGACTCATTCATGTTTGAAGCATGCATCAGCACCTCATTCCTTTTCATTGATGATATTCCATTTTTCCACATCTGGTTATCCATCAGTTAATGAACAGTTCCTACTTTTTGTCCATTATGGATGATGCTGCTATGAATTATGTACAAGTCTGTGTAGATGTATGTTTCAATTCTCTTCGTCATATTTCCGTGTCACTTGTGCATTTTCTTCCTATATTGGTAACAAAAAGATAGTTTGAGCAACAGACTTTATTACTCTTACATAATAATCAAAATATAAACTGATTAACAGTGGCAGTAGATATATATGTATAGGGAGTCTCCAACTTTGGGAGGGATTTTCCGAGAGTTCATATGTAAGTTTAGCAGGAGTCAGTTTGTATTATGTTACAAATAAGAATGTACATGGTTCCCAGGCATTTAAAGACTAGGTTGGAATGCTAGGAACATTCCTTCCCCACACCACCCCCATCTAGTTTTTGATCATTTACTAAGTAGTTTAATTAAGCTCTGTAACATCTGGAGAAATTTTATCACCCTAGGCTATAACAAATACTGAGGCTTTTACTTTACTCATTGCCTCTTCTGTTTGGAGTGAATTTTAAAAATATTTTTAACCATATATAAAATTTAAATATAAAATATTTTTAAACAATATAAAATTTCGGGGTGCCTGGGTGGCTCAGTTGGTTAAGCGTCCGGCTCTTGGTTTCAGCTCAAGTCATGATGTCACAGTTTCGTGAGTTCAAGCCCCACATTAGGCTCCAAGCTGACAATTCAGAGTCTGCTTGGGATTCTCTGTCTCCCTCTGTCTCTGCCCCTCCCCAACTTGCACTATCTCTGTCTCTCTCTAAATAAACTTTAAAAAAAAACAATACAAAATTTAGACTATGTATGTATGTATGGTGGGCACTTTGACCTCCAGAGATAAATGTTCACTGTCCTCTACCTTAGAGTTAATTTGGTGAAAAGATTGAAAAACACTACCCACTAGTTCTTTTTGTCTCCAAAAACATATCATGAATGTGAGATATTTGTGGACATACCTAGATTTTGATGGTTAGTAGCATATATAAATAGGGCTTAGCATGAATAGTGGCAATTTCTCCTCCAACCCATACCCATTTTCAACCACTGCCTTAGAAAATTTTAATGGGCATGCCCTGAAATAAACTTTTTGAAAAAGCAATTTAATCATCTAAAATTCTTTAACAGGACTTATTTTTTAAAAGATGCCTATGTAGGTCTTAATGGAAACATGATTAATCACCCCCAATTTGTTATAGAGTTTGACTTTCAAATATCTAATTTGCTTAAATCAATGCACCTAGAACTTTAATGTGCCTACAAATTACCTAGGGATCTTGTTAAAATGCACATTCTGATTCAGCAGGTCTAGGATGGGTTCTGAGATTCTAGTTTCTAGCAAGCTAGATGGTGATGCAGATGTTGCTGGTTCAGGGTCCGCATTTTGAGCAGCAAACGTTTAAATGGTTCTCCTCTCACAGTGCTCCACCTGTTTTGAATCTTTACTGCTTCTAAACCTGCTGCATGCTGTCAAGCATCAACTAAGCTTGTGAAATTCATTTCAAATAAGAATCCAGAAGAATCTTTGCCAGCCTCAGCTCTTCAATGGCACAGGGTTTAGAATTGCTATTTGGGGTTTTCTTTTTTTTTTTTTTTCTTAATTTTTTTTTATTGTTTACTCATTTTTGAGAGACAGAGAGTGAATGGGGGAGGGGCAGAGAGAGAGGAAGACACAGAATCTGAAGCAGACTCCAGGTTCTGAGCTGTCAGCACAGAGCCCGACAGGGCTCGAACTCAAGGACTGCGAGATCATTACCTGGGCTAAAGTTGGACGCTTCAGCCACTGAGTCACCCGGGGACCCTGCTATTTGTGGTTTTCTACTACCTTTTCAGATAGATGTTTCAGGCTATGATTTAGAAGGCTGACTCAGCGGAAAAGATTGCTGGATAAATGAGGTATTATCTCTGCATGGTATAACATTATGTCCATAAATATGTGGCTTGGATAAATCAGAAAACAAGATTGGAAGCAGAAAGATGAGTTGGGATGCTATTACAGTGTAGCAGGAAAGTGATGTGAGGCCAATCTGAAGTGGTAATAGGGTGGAATGGACTTTTGAAAAAAAAAAGTAGAGGGGAGGGTATGTGTGTGAGACAGTGAAGGTGGTGGGAGAAAGAAGTTGAAGATTGTTCCAAGGTTCTTAGTTTGAACATCTTGGTAACAGTGGTGCTGTAAACTATGAGAACCTAGAATGATAAACAACTTTGTGCAGGGAAAATATTGGAGAATTTAGTTTGGCTTTGGACATGTTGTATTTGATGTCCTAATACATATGGTTAATAGATTAACCATATGCAAAAGGTAGTATAGTGTCATAATTTGTAGTGAGAAAAATCTACATTCAAATCTCAACTCTGCTACTTATTTAGCTATGTGATCTTAGGTTATTTAACTTCTCTGAGACTCCTGTTCTTCATCTATAAAGTAAGGATGTAAAAATATACAAGTTTTTAAATAAGGATTAAATCAATATTATAGAGAGGAACCATCCACTTCTTTTTTTATTGTAATTTTTTTTTTTTATTTTTTTGAGAGAGAGAGAGAGAGAGAGCAAGCAAGCATGAGCAGGGGAGGGGCAGAGAGAGAGGGAGACACAGAATCCAAAGCGGGCTCCAGACTAAGCTGTCAGCACAGAGCCTGATGTGGGGCTCAACCCCACGAGCTGTGAAATCATGACCTGAGCTGAAGTCCGATGCTCAACCAACTGAGCCACCCAGGCACCCCAGGAACCAACCACTTCTGGACAGCCCTTGTCACTACTGTAACTATTAAGGATGTTGGAAAAGAATGTGGTTTGATGAGGAAGAAAATTCAAAAGAGAAGGAAAGGTAAAAAGAACAACTCACATCTTTCGACATTTGCTACATTCACTGAGCTTTTATGAGGAAGATAAGAAATCGTCTTTAGTAGTGTACATCCAAATTGGGATGGCTTTCCCCAAAGATACATTGCAGTTTGGGCTCTGGGATGATTGTGTCTTCCCATCTTCTCCAGGAAGCTGCCTTGGTACTACTTACTGCCCTTTAGTAGAAGCTAATCCCAAACTGACCCTTTTCTCACCCCCAAGAAAAATCCCTGTTGTAGCACACACCTGCCTCCCTTGAGCTGGCGCACATCTTGGAAAGGTTAAGCCAGAGACACTGCTCCAAGGCAGAGTTCTTTGGCTCCAGGACTTGGCATCTGGGTGTGCCCCACCCCATTTTTGTTTTTAATTGAAATGGCCTTGAGGCTTTGTTCTCAAAACAGCACACCTAGAGCTCCATGTTTTTTGTACATTTCCTCCCAACTCCTTTCTTTGTACACACTTGTTTTTGCTTTTAGTGCACCCTTTAATTCTGATAGGCTCATTTATTGCAATAAATAAAAATGTCCCTCAAATAATTCCTCACTGCGATGCCATACAAATCACTGACCTCATTCACCTTAGTGTGTAAGGAGCTGCCAAAGGTACAAAGAGGTGAAGGCTGCCCTGAAAGGGATTTTTTTTTCCTTAAAGAGTTTAATAAAGGGGGAAATGTTTATAAATTGTTTAGATCCTGAAAAGGAAAGTTGGAGAAGACCTTTTTCTGTGGCTGATTACAATAGTTAAATACATAGATTGGGGTGGCAGTGGGGGAAGGGAGGGGCCCACGGCGTGAATAAAATCATGTGGCTTCTGGAGATTTTATATTCTTCCTGTATGGGCAGAAAGAGCTTAGTCTAAGGAAGATTTTATTTTTTTTTCAATATATGAAATTTATTGTCAAATTGGTTTCCATACAACACCCAGTGCTCATCCCAAAAGGTGCCCTCCTCAATACCCATCACCCACCCTCCCCTCCCTCCCACCCCCCATCAATCCTCAGTTTGTTCTCAGTTTTTAAGAGTCTCTTATGCTTTGGCTCTCTCCCACTCTAACCTCTTTTTTTTTTTCCTTCCCCTCCCCCATGGGTTTCTGTTAAGTTTCTCAGGATCCACATAAGAGTGAAAACATATGGTATCTGTCTTTCTCTGTATGGCTTATTTCACTTAGCATCACACTCTCCAGTTTAAGGAAGATTTTAAATTAGAATTCTATCAGATTCCATTTACTGTGTGACCTTGGATAAGTCACCTCACCGGTCTGCGCTTTTATTTTTGTGCAAAGTGAGGAATAATATCCACTTCGAAAGACTTCTGTGAGAATTACGTGAAATGATCTGTTTATGAAATAGCTTTCAAAGAGCTCATTTAATATCAGTTGCCGCTATTGCTGCTTCCCAGAAGGGGCCGTTCTTTACTCCAAAATTCCAGAAACTGTTTTCTACAGTTTAACACCCTCGGCTGTAAAATGATGAGAAGAAGCAACATAATTATACCTGGGGCTCATTCATTTGAACAATAACAAAAAAAAAAAAAAACCGCTTTAAAGTTTAAGTAGGCAAAATACACTTAAGTGGTGGCGGGACGCGCTTTGAAAGCACCCGCACCCCTTCCTCACCCCAGTGGATTATGGGAATCGTAGTCCCCCACTCCCATTGTTTGAGTACAGAAAAGCGAATAGGAAACTACAACTCCCAGGAGGCAAAGAAGCGGGACTATTTCCCAGTCGGGCGGTAGAGCTGTGGGAGGGAATTGGCAATCTTGCTGCCTACGTGGGAGAGAAGGGAGGGTTGGGGGAAGTGTAGAAAACGTGAACCCAAGCCGTGGCTTGGCTTGAGGGAGATTTGGTGGGAGGAGAAGTAGAGGGAAATAGACAGGTGGAGGGTGAGGGGAGGAAGGTATCTGGGTCGCCGCTGCCGGGCGGCACAAAGTTCGCGATGTGGCTGAAGCCTGAGGAAGTGCTCCTGAAAAATGCACTGAAGCTGTGGCTGATGGAAAGGTCCAACGACTACTTCGTGCTTCAGCGGCGTCGGGGCTACGGCGAGGAAGGCGGAGGGGGTCTCACAGGTAAGCTATGGCCACCCCCCACCCAACTCGGGGCCGTGTTCGCGGGTACTTAAAAGGCGGTGAGGAAAACAGTTACTCGTCGCCACCCGCCGCGCGATTCTCGGCCCCGGGCGAAGGGGCTCGGGTTCTTCTGCCACCACCTTTCCGTCGCCGCCCCTGAGTCCCGAAAATACCTCACTCGACTGGCCGCTGCGCTTCGGGTGGGAGGGGGAATGGAAGGAGGGGTCCTTTCCGAGGCGGTGGAATAATCTGAGGCAGAGGAGGGGTTCTTTCTGAGACAGAGTACCTGCCCCGTAGCTTCCCCCGGGGGAGAGGCTGACGACGAGTGTTAGACCTCGACAGGTAGCGTTTAGGTTGGTGACAGGGGCCAGTTCAGCAGTTGTGGACTTACCTTTTTTCACGAAACCCCCTCTTGATAATCACCATCCTGGTGGGGGAGCAAGTAAGATTCGGGGGGGGGGCAGGGAGGATGGTGAGGAGAAAGGGAGGAGCCCCGGTCACATCCTGAGGGAAAGGCTTCAAATGAGAGATTCGGAAGTGGCGGGGGGTGGGGAGGTCGGACTTGCAGGGGAGGGCTCAGAATCGCGGACCCCTCCCAATTTAGCATCTTTTGCTCTGCCACCCAGTTTTCAGTCCTTGGGATCTTATTTCAGAGTAACCGTCGTCGTAATTCGTTTCCCTCTCGAGTGTGCGGCGGTGCCCCTTCTTTCAAAGCCACGATTGTAAGCCAACCTATGAAACCAGTGGAAGTTTTTAACTCTTGCCTCCGAATCCGTCCTGGCTTCAGTGATTTGATTTTGCAAATCCAGAACTGGCCCTGGGTCACGTGTTTAAAGCCTCCAGACAATTTGGAGACTTCTCGTCTGGGGCAGGGGCATTCAAACTTTTGGACACGGCTGGTAGGGGGACGCAGAGCTCTTTTTCGTGACCATTTGCAGTTTGGTATGGTGGCTTTGGAGTGGTGGACCAGACTTCCTTTAGGCAGCGTGATGTAGCGGGAAGAGGGAAGAGTAGGGAAATCTACATTTTAGCCCCATCCTCATCTCTTGTTGAATGTCATTCGACAGATACTTTGATTTATTACACATAAACGCCTGCTGTGTGCCACAGGGAATGCTAGTGTACGAAGACAGTTAAGATTCACTTTTCCGCCCTTGAATTGCTCTTGATCTGGATACGGGGGAGAGGGTCGGGTTAGGGGGAAGTAACCAGTAACCCAGGCAAATTGGACTTATAACCAGTAACTAGTAAATCAGGCAAATTCTAATTAGAACCAAATAACTGAAAGGTTGTGTAAAGATTCATGGAGGAGATGGCATTGCTCTTCCTCTTCTAGGAAATGGTGTCTACCTCATAGAGTTAAGAGGATGAAATGAAAGGTAATTGGTGCCAAATCAGTGCATGTTGTTAAGGTGGTGACAGATATGTGCCTTTATTTCCTCTTTTTTTCCAAGCCATCCCCAAGCTGGAGAGAATTCTGAGGTTCTACAGGAGGTTTTTTGTTTTTTTTTTTAATTTTGCAAGACTTGTTCATCTTATCTGGCTTCTAAAAAGTCCCCCTTGAAAATATGGCAACAAAAATTGCCTGGTTAAACTCACATTTGGTCATTTTCTGAGTTTTAAAAATTACAAGTGTTATTTTGCAGAGGAGACTTTCCATTTAATAGATGCATCTATTTTCCAAATTAAATTTGAGAATCAATGTTCATAATTACCCAGTGACATTATTTATCCTCTTTAGTCCATTAAGAACAACTCAGAGTACATTTAAAACATCTTACAGCCCTGTGTTACAGCATAATATTTTGGTTCCCCATAACTTTTCTTGACCAGAATTTTTATGGTGTTCTTGTCCACATTTACCAAGGAGGTATATTTCACTTTGTACAACTGTGTTCCTGAAAAATAATAGGTAAATCAGATTCTTGAGAATCAAACCACTGTAATGGAGTATGAAAGAGTTTACTTGTTGCAAATTTCCTGTAAATAATCATTCCTTTTTTTCTGTGTTTAGGTTTTCATTTCACATGTTTTCTTAAAACATAGACCTATTGCACCAGTTTCTCTATTCCACTCACTCCCATGTACTCTTCAAAAGCCCATATCTCTAGAATAAGAGATTTGTCTGCAGAAATAAACCAAGATTTCTACCACACATGTATGTTGAGAATAGCCATAGGCCCATATTGTGGTCAATGTGTATGTCTGCATGATTATTTTACCTGTGGTATTGTCAAGATGCTTGAAATTTCCACGAGTGCTGCCACTTTATTACATGTAAATTAAGCAAAATGGATCAGAAAGGAGCAGAGGTGTTTTTAAGGTTTGTTTGGTTCGTTTTGGTCCAGAATAAGCATGTGCTGATTTTTATGACTGCTCAATTACTGTTTTTTTTTTTTTTTTACTTAAAATTGTGAAGCCAAGAGCTCTGTTATGCTTTACACAAATCCACATTTGGATTACCTCTCACAGGAGTTTGGGTGCCAGCATAAGCTTGCCTCTGTCTGTTTTGCTTGCTGAAATCCAGTGTTGTTATGTGCTACCCCTTTAAAAGATTCCTTTATACATTTTGTTTAATGAAGAAGAGATAATGACCATCTAGAAATGTTAACAGTTGTACTTTCTTTAAGATTTTATTTCTTTGCCATGTGATAATTGGCAATAACCACCAGCAATGTAATGACTTTAGCTGTGGATTTGGTAAAGTTAGTTGACTCTATTATTTTTCCTAAAAATGGAATTGGGACAACAGAGAACCCTAGGGTGGTTGTAACAGGAGATTAACTTGTAAGTTAGAATTCCGAGGTCCTTTTCTAAATTTCTGAAACCCATTTAGTAGACATCTAGTAGATTACTTATCATTTGCCTATTTAATCTTAGTTTTCCTGGTTCACAGTAAGGTAGAATATATTGTGGAAATTTTCATTATATGTAAAGGTTATTTTATAGATAAAGTGATTTTCTGTCATTTAGTGGAGTAATTCACCCTTCTGGACTTTTGCAGTTACCTTACATTATCCCTTGATCTTCCTGGCTGATAAGGGTAATGACTTTTCTATAGCATCTCAATTTAGCACCTGTCTTTATGTAATTGAAAATAATTTATGCATATTTGGCTCATTAAGCACAAATCAACAATTTGCTTGGTAGTTGGGGTGCTGCATGAGTGGAGTTATGGGGCTACATTCTAGCGTGTCAGACTTAGGAAGATCTGCCAATCAGAAAGCTTTAATTCAGATCATTTGTTGAGAGTATCTGATTTTTGAATATTCCGTATCTGCATAGTGTAAGCAGGTTCTTGTGTGTTAGAATGATCATCTCCTTCAGTAGACCTTGTTTTGGGGTTGTAGAATGAGACTAAAGAGTAAACTTACTAAAATGGAGAAGTTTTAAGACATTCTGTTTCCCTATCTCTCTCCTCTTTCATCTTGGCACCATTACCTTGAAATTAAATCATATGTATGGACTAGAACATAATAATATCTTAAATGCGCTTTCCATTTCAAAATGTTTTATGATATTTATATAAACTTAAATCATGGTGGAAATGATTTGTCATAAGTAAACACATACATAATAAGGTAACTTTTAAAAGAACTTGTTAGTGACCGTCTCTCAAAAATACAAGGCTTTCTCTCCTTTTTCCCCACCCGCAACTCAAGTTGCCCAACTTTGAAAATATTCTCAGTTAAGTTTTTCTTAGCAAAATATGCCTGCATTCCATGTTCACAAAGGAACTGATAAAATTTTTGGTCTCCCAAGTACCTTATTACTGGAACCAGAGTGTCTAAATGGTGACCATGACATTTCATTTCAGGTAAATATCAAATCGCTACCCACACACATATTGTAAATTAATAAATATCATTTTGACTTAATAGAAAATCCCATAGAGCAACCCCTAGGGAAAACAACCGTGAGATCATAACCTGAGCCAAGATGAAGAGTCAGACACTTAACTGACTGAGCCACCCAGGCGCCCTTACAGTGTTATATTAGTTTTAATATATAATATAGTGATTCAGCAGTTTTATACATCACCCAGTGATCATCACAATAAGTGTACTCTTAATCCCCTTTATCTGTTTCACTCATCTTCCCCCAACCCCGGGCAATCACCCATTTGTTCTTTATATTTAAGAATTGTGGGGGTTTTTTGTTCATTTCTTTGTTAATTTGTTTTATTTTTTAAATTCCACATATGAGTAGAATTATATGGTATTTGTCTTTCTCTGGCTTATTCACTTAACATCAAACCCTCTAGATCCATCTATGTTGTTTTGAGTGAGAAAGGACAGTTTCATTGGAAGTCTTAAGATATGAAGGATGATCATTGTCACCACTTTTTCTTGGTAGTAGTGGAAGGATTATTGACTGCATACCTATAAGCCTCAGGGTTTTTTTGTTTCTTTGTTTGTTTGTTTTTTAAGATACCTGTTAATAACACTACTCTCTCTTTTTTCCTTTCCCTTGCTTGCTGCTGGGGTCTTCCTTTCCTGAAACATAGACAGGAAACTTCTGCTACTCCACTTCAACTTAGGGGCATGAATCTTCAATTCTCATGGGAAGAGGATTTTTTTTTTTGATTAAGGTATTGGAGATTTATTATATAAGTAGGAAACTAGTATTAATTGCTATCAAGCAGATTTCATTCTAATGAAACAACAAGACTATAAAGTGATGACCCTGAACAACCTTCGTTTTTCAAAACCTCCCACAAAGCTGACCTTTCTCATTCAAAGAGATCTTTAAAAGTAATTTTTTACTTGATTTTGCATGGGTCAGAATGTTCCAGGGAGGGAGCAGAACACAGTGTAATTTGCCCTCCCCAGAGGTTACCCTATGGGATTTTCTTTTTAATAAGTCAGCTACAAACGAGCATCCACAAATACATCAGTATACCACTGAGTTCAGTGATTCCACTTGCATTATTAACCCGACTTTGTTTGTCTTCCCTGATTTTTTAATATTTTTTTCTGCCTCTATTCAGCTCTAATTGT